ATACAAAAAGGAATAATAAGAATATTTGCCCAGTCATCTTTTGTCAACCTCTATCACAATAATATAATTCACCTTAAAATGTTTATTTTAATCTTTCAGTAACTCACCATGTTAAGATTTATGTCTTTATTTTACTTAGAAATGTAAGGATATTCTTTGTACCTAAAGGCTTTTATTCTTATTTTGCAATTTCTTATTACTATGTTTCTCTTTTAGGGTATGTTCTTTGACATCAGTTTATTGTACTTTTGGTTTTACCTGTGTTATAATTTTGAATGACAATTTGTAACTTCATACATATATTTTAAGTCAGTTTGGGGTTTAATTAAACCACCCATGTTTATCACAAATTATATATGTGTGTTAGTCTCTATGTCTCCAAGTTTGTTTATAGCTCATTTTGTACATTTATTTTCTATTCTGATTTTTGATGATTGATTTATTCTGTCTAGGTATGCTCATGGAAACAGTTTTAATTTCTTCATGGCCTTTTATAATCTATATTTTTTTGTGTAAGAGAATCACTTGTCATTTGAAGGTATTTTTGGAAAGCTTCATAACTCTTTTTCTTTTATAGGTTTTTTTTTTTTGAGTTGGAGTCTTACTCCGTCGCCCAGACTGGAGTGCAGTGGTACGCTCCCGGCCACCATAGCCTCGGCCTGCTGGGCTCTGGAGATCCCTCCACCTCAGCCTTTCAAGTAGCTGGAACTACGGGTGCACACTACCACGCCCGGCTAATTTTTTTGATTTATTGTAGAGATAAGGTCTCGCCAAGTTGCCTGGGTGGGTCTCAAACCCGCGGGCTCAGGCAGTCCACTCACCTCGGCCTCCCAAAGCGTGGGATTACAGGCTGAGCCACCGAGCCTGGCGTCTTTTATAGTTTTTAAAAAATTAATTCTGATTAAAAGCAACATAAAACTTACTATTTAAGTATTTTAATTGTACATTTTAGTATACTGTGTTAAATACATTCACATTGTTATGCAAAAGACCCCTAGAACTTTTACATCTTGTAAAACTAAAACTCAGTATTCATTGTCATTTTTTTCTACAAAAAAATTGCCTTTGAAAATTGGACAAAAAAATTGCCTTTGAAAAATGTACACATTGAATGTGTACATCACTGTGGGCAGTATTGACATCTTGACAAAATTAAATTATCTGATTCTTGAGCAAAACTATGTTCAAGAGTGTGTTTAATTTCTACTTTTAAAATATTTGCTGATTTTTAATCTGCTTTTAATTTCTGCTTTTATTCCATTTGGTTAGAAAAGTATGTTGTGTGATATTAGTCTTAACTTTTATGAGACTCTGTGTGTGTCCTAACAGAATGCACCATGGGCAGTTGAAAATATTGTGTTTTTTGGTGCTTCTGACTGGAGAGTTCTGTACATGTCTATGAGACTTGGTTGGTCTATAATGTTCATGCTTTCTATTTTCTTACTGAACTTTTATCTACTTTTTCTTATTATCAAAAGAGGAGTCTTGAAGTCTACAGTTATTGTGTTGCTATGTATTTTTGCTTCATTTCTGTCAATTTTCTTTGTATATTTTGATGATGCATATATCATCACACACACACACACACACACAATTCATCTCCATTTCTTGTGACAAATTTTGACTTAAAGATTATTTAGTTTAATATAACTATGGCCACATCACCCAATTGTGATTGGTATTTGCATGGGTTATGTATTTTTTTATCCTGCTACTTTTATTCTGACTTCTTACAGTTAAAGCGAGTCTTTTATAGACAGCCTATTGTAGAATCTTGTTTGTTCTCTTGTTTTTGTTTTTTTGAGTCAGAGTCCCACTGTGTCGCCCAGGTTGGAGTGCAGTGAAATTCTCACAGCCATAGCAGCCTCTACCTGCTGGGCTCAGGCGATTCTTCCACTGCAACCTTCCAAGTAGCTGGAGCTGTAGAGACGCACCACCACACCTGGCTAATTCTTTGATTTGTTGTAGAGATGAGGCCTCACCAAATTGCCTAGGCTGGTCTGAAACCCCTGGGCTCAGGCAGTCTTTTCGCCTCTGCCTCCCAAAGTGCTAGGATTACAAGCATGAGCCACCATGCCCGACAGATCTTGTTTATTCTTAGTTTATTTGGTCATTTTATTTTTTAAAAAGTTTAATCTATGTATATTTAAAATAATTCCTAAAGGAAAGTTATGATTACTATATGTTTGTAATTGTTTTCTGTTAATTTTTTATGGTAGGCTATCTCATGTCAATTCATTTTGTTTTTTTGTGTAGTATAATTTTGTGTGAAAAGACTTTACAGTTTAAGACAGTGCGGGTCAAAAGTGAGATATACATCAGCCACTTAGTTAATTGATCAGTGTGTTTGTTTGCATGTGTAAATATTACTCTTATTTTGTTCATGACTTGTATAATTGTGTTTTTGTTGATGGTCATTGTTTACTCCTTTCTAGGTGAATAGTCATAAATTTTCTTAATTTCAGCATCTATTTATTGGTGAATCTATGCTGTCTTTGTGTGAGATTTTAATTTTTAAAAATGTGTTAAAGACTTGTTTTATGATCCAAGAGGTAGTCTATTTAGAAGAATGTCTTATGAGTTATTGAGAAGATTTTGTATTCTGCTGTTATTTTGTGGAATGTTCTGTATACATCTGTTGTAATTGTTTCATAGTGATTTCAAGCCCTTTGTCATTTTATTAATATTCTGTCTCACTTTATTATTAATTACTAAAAGTGGTGTGTTGAAGTATTCTACAATTAATATATTGCTAGATATTTCTTGTTTCAATTTTGCCATTGTTTACTTTATATATTTGAGAACCCTGATATGAGATATATTTATAGGTTCCCAGTGAATATATACTTTTATTATATTTTAATATCCTTTGTCTCATGAATTTTGACTTAAAGTATATTTTATGAAATACAAGAACTTTTAATGTATTTTGTCTAAAATAATTGTTACCTCTCCTCTCATTTTATTAACATTTTTATAAAATGTCTTTATACTGCCTCTTTCATTCTAATTTGTTATTAGATCTAGAATGAGTTTCTTGGAGACAGGATATAATTGGATCTTGATTTTTTTTTGTATCTTTAAAGTTTCTTTATATTATTTGATTCAGAAGTTTAGTTAATAAATATTTTGTGAGAAGGAAGAACTTACTATTGCTTTTTTATTGTTTTATCTGATACTTGTAGCTATTTTATCTTTTTATTTCCATCTTTATGTCTTGTTGAGTTTTGCAGTGACATGATTGACTTCTTTTTTATACTTTGTGTATCTCTGTAGGCCTTTGTTTTGTGAGTACAATAAAGATTACAGGAAACTTCTTAAAGTTACAACAGTGTATTTTAAACTAGTCACAACTTAAGCTCAGTTGCATATAAAAATTTTTATTACATTAACCTTCAATGTTATGTAGTTATATCACTAATTATGTATTTTATATTGCATATACATTAATTGATGTTTATGATTATTTTCCTGCTTTTGTCTTTCAAATTTTAGACTATAATTAAAAGTGTTTTCTACTTTAACACTATTTTGCCATAGTATTTTATTTTTGTGTGTATTCATAACCTTTCCAGGAGAACTGTATATTTTTATATTATTTTATTGTGTTTTCTAGCATTTCTTAAATTTTCTGTGCGACTGTTGCCTTTTTGCATTTTTTATGGCATTTCTGTTGGTGATCCTCTTTTTTAGTATTTGGTTATTTTGAAAAGTTTTTAATTTTCCATAATTGTGAAGAATGGTGTCTTTAATTATTGTACTCTTCCTTGGAAGATCCCCCCCGCCTCCAGCATTTTGAGTACATCATGAGGTTCTTTCTTGACTTCCAAGGTTTCTGTTGATAAATTTACTGGTAATTTTATAGGAGCCTGCATATACATGACACATCACTTTCCTCTTGCTGTGTTCAAGATTTTCTTGTTGTCTGTGACTTTCAAAACTTTGCTTATCTTGTTTCTTATGAGCTTCTTTGTGTTTATACAGAATAAAGTTTATTGAACTTACTAATTTTTAAATACTTTTTTATATTTGAGAGTTTCCGAGTCTTTTTTTTTTATACTTTAGCACTGTACTTGGTTTCTTTTTATATTTCTTAGTAATTTTGCAAACATTTCACTTCGTTGCTTGTGTTGTCATTTCACTCATTAAGCATGATTGAGGTGTGATAGTTTCAATTTGTTTCAGGTAGTTTACACATCTGTATTTCTTTAGTGTAGATTTCTTGATATTTATTTTGTTTATTTGTCTGGACCTTGTTACTCTGATACTTTGCATATATTGTATCCTTTGACTGAAAAACAACCAGTCACAATATTGATAAAGTGGCTTAGTCCTTGGGGAATCTGATGCCAATTTACCTGGCTAGAGAGTGGGACTCTTTCAAACCTTGTATCAGCATTTGTCTTATCTGAATGTGTATTTAATTTTCACTTCAAGAGGTTTGCTTGTATTTCTTAAGATTTTGTAATCATGTGCTGTGTCTTTTTGTGGTCTCTCCACTGTTGTAGCAACCATTTACTTTTGATCTCAGCAGATACAACCTGTCATTCAAAGTATACCATGTTTTTCAGCACTTTGTGTCGTGGAAGACAGAAACCAGTTTATGAAAAGGCCTCCAAGAGCCAGATGTATGGACATGTGCCATGATTTTGTTTTTTCTCTAAGTTAGAAGAAGCTAGGAGCTTCAATTTTACACCTAAAGCACTGTGTTGTATTGGGGAGGAGGAATGGCTGTTGTGGATAAATGTAACACGCTTTTCTAGGTTTTCATGTGGTTCTTTAGATTACAATCACCTTGGGTTCCCAAACATTTTACTAAGTTTTAGAGTTTTCACATATAAATTTTGGTCAGTATATGCCTGTGAAATTTATTGTCTATAAAAGAATTAGGGCCTTTGGTATATATGCCATCTTGATAATGTGCTTGAAATTTTATATTTCAGATTTGTGAAAAATACGCAGCTGAGTCTAATAAGTATTCTACTTTGTTTTTATTTCAGCTGTGTCTTTTTATGTCACTCAAGACCTCATACCAAAGCAAGGCTTAAAAGATTCATTTCAAGAAGTGGTACTGAGAAAATATGGAGGCTTTGGCTTTGATAATTTACATTCAAGCAAAGACTGGAAAAGTGTGAGTGAGCATAAGGGACAGAAAGAAGGTTTTCAAGGACTTAACCAATATTCATCAACTATTCATAACAAAATCTCACGATTTAATAAATTTGTCAAATCTTTTGACCATTGCTCAATCCTTATTGTAAATAAGAAAATTCATAATGAAGAGAAATCCTACAATTGGGAAGAATGTGGGAAATCTTTGGACCAGTTCTCAGGCCTTAATAAATATAAGAAAATCCATGCTGAACACGAACCATACATATGTGAAGAATGCGGGAAATCTTTTAACCAGTGGTCTAAACTTACTCAACATAAGAAAATTCATACTGGGGAGAGACCATTCAAATGTGAATACTGTGGCAAAGCCTTTAAATGGTCCTCAACTTTAATTACCCATAAGAGAATTCATACTGGAGAGAAACCCTACAGTTGTGAAGAATGTGGAAAATCTTTTAACCAGTGCTCAAGCCTTATTCAACATAAGAGAATTCATACTGGAGAGAAACCCTACAAATGTGATGAATGTGGCAAGGCTTTTAAACAGTCCTCAACCCTAATTCAACATAAGAGGATTCATACTGAAGAGAAACCGTACAATTGTGAAGAATGTGGAAAATCTTTTAATCAGTGCTCAAGCCTTACACAACATAAGATAATTCATACCGGAGAGAAACGCTACCAATGTGAAGAATGTGGCAACACCTTTAAATTGTCCTCAACCTTAATTAAACATAAGAGAATTCATACGGGAGAGAAACCCTACAACTGTGAAGAATGTGGCAGAGCCTTTAAACAGTCCTCAAACTTAATTAAGCATAAGAGAATTCATACTGAAGAGAAAACCTACAATTGTGAAAGTGTGGAAAATCTGTTTACCAGTGTTCAAGCCTTACTCAACATAAGAGAATTTATACTGGAGGCTAAGCCTTCAAATGTAAAGAATGTGGCAGAGCCTTTAAATGGTCCTCAACCTTAATTGAACCCATACTGGAGTTCAGTTGAACCTTAATTTTCTCATACTGGAGAAAAACCCTACAATTATGAAGAATGGTGAGAAGTCTTTTAACTGATACTCAACACATGAGCATTCACCTTGGAAAAAAATTCTAGAAATGTGAAAAATGTTGCAAACCTTTTAATAGGTAACTGCTCACATCTTACTAACATCAGAGAACTTATGCTGGACTAAAGTATTATAAAGGTGATGGTGATGGCAAAATTTTTCACACAGTATAACCCTTAGGGTGCACAACAGTATTTATCCTTATGAAAAATATTCCAAATGCAAAAACTGGTGCAACCCTTGTTATATTATACACTGGAGGCAATACAGTGTTGCTCAAACTTGATTTAACATCAGATAATTTGCATTGGATAGAGAACCTACAAATATAATGAATGTGAAAACACATTTATCCAAGAAATATACTTGAGAAAACGCCAGAGAGTTTATACTGAATGGTACTTCGCATTTGTTGTAAATGTGCAAAAATATCTAATATAAAATCAAGTCTAAATAAACATGAGAAAGTCATAGCAGAAAGTGCTAAGGCATTAGCACTTTCAGACATTACTCTAAATCAGAGTATTTATTATAGAGAATAATCCTAAATTATATTGATAACTTATCTGTATATTGTTTTTAAAAAGCTGAAGAATAATTTCTGAAGAGTTATAATACATTCAAAGTATACCTTTGGGATTGAAAGTACTTTAGATTTTTTGGAAAGTAGATGTTGTGTAATTCAATTTTGAAATCACATAATTGTATGCCTTCATTCCTCATGTTTTGCACATGGTCAGTGGTTTAGCACATCATCTCTCTGAAAGGTTTTCCTTTTATAGGTGGACATCATTTATACACTTTTCTGTGGAAAGTTAAGGATACTAAAATGTAAGACTCATCAACAAAATCTAAGTGGAGAGGCTCTTTGTGTTTGTCTTATGACAGTCTTGCAAGTAATGTATGAGGTAGATGTCAGAGCTAATATTCTTCTGCATAATAGTAAGAAAAAAGTTGGATTTTAGAAGAAAATATTTTTACTATTTCCATATTGAGGTAATAAAATATGGTGGATTTTGAAAAATGTTTCTAGACTATGTGTAAACTTTGTTTTAATAACATTTTAAAAGATGTGTTAAGACATTTTAACATTTGTCAAGTTATATCCTGCCACCAACATTAACCCGCACCACTTTAATCAAGATTGTAGGGAGCAGGAGGAAATAATATACTATTGGGTAACTTAGGAATATGACATCTCTAGGGATCCCCTTTTTCATTGCCTTTAAACATCAAATGATTTTGCGTATATTGTTCCCATTGGTAATATTTTATTCTTTTTCTTCACTTTGTAACTATAGAATTATGGTAAAAGTTTCAGGTAATTTTTAGGTTATAAACGCACCACTCAAGTCACTTAATTAAAATAAGACAGATGCACTGTCAACAGGCCAGTGGGTTAAATTATTTAGCATTGTTTGTTTATATTTTTAAAAAGAAAATGTAATTATATCCTACAATAGGTAAATATAAAACAAGTTACAACACGTAAAACATTAGTAACAGTGGACCATACATTTTAAATACTATATGTAGAAACAGGATTTTAAAATCTCATAAGAGAAAATCGATTTTAGAAATATATGTATTTTTTTGAGTTCGGGTCTCTCTATCACCTAGGCTGAAGTGCAGTGGCACAATCATGGCTTACCACAGCCTCAGTCTTTTGGGCTCAGGTGATCCTTTTGCCTCAGTCTTCCAAGTAACTGGCACTACAGGCATGCACCACTACGCCTGGTTTATCTTTATAAAAACTTTTTGTAGAGGCAAGGCCTTACTATGTTTCCTAAGCTGGTATTGAGCTCCTGAGCTCAAACATTCCTCCCGTGTCAGCCTCCCAAAAATACTGGGATTTGTATAGGCATGAGCCAGTTCCTCTGAACTAGAAATAAGTTTTTAAGATAGCTAATGGTTAGGGAAGGATTTTAATTTTTTTATGGCATTCTTACAACTTACATTTTCGTGGATAATCTATTTTTTTTTAGTGTGTATGTTAAGTGTTGAACAAAAATAGAAGGACTTCTGTGGGTTGAAAATTAGAAATAATCTGTTATTTCCATATTGGTATTGGAATTTGGGGGATTTCTTTTATATCATAAATATTTTTTATTTTAATGTATCCGATTTACAGTCCTTAGCTTTAATTTTTGTTAGCTAGTATACTCGATTCCCTGGTCATTCTCTTTAGGGAAATCTCAGAAGTCACGCAACTTTAGGATTTAACTTTTTCTTGGTAATTGTCAATACAAACTTGTTTCCTGTGTTCATAGAGTAGCAAGAGGTAGAACCATTAGCACCATCTGCCTTGTTAATCTTTTCCATATCATCACCATCCCAGGCTCTCCAAGTGACTCAAAGTTAATCTCCAAGCCCCTAGGTTCATTGACATCTTTCCTGTTCTGTGTTGGATCCTGAACACGCTAGTAAATGCCAGCCTATGATTATGACTGACAAGTGTTTTTTTTTTTAAGCTATGAAAGTTATATATTTTTTCTACTGCTCAGCTAAGATTATGCCAGACATGCAGTCGGTATTTGAAACAAATTTTTCCCTCTGTGGTGTTTTTAAATTTGTTCTTAATTAACAGATATGTATTATGTAAGCCATGATGTTTTCAAGTAATTGCATCTATTTTTAAATGGTTCATTTTAGCTAATTAACAAATGCTTAACCTCACAGTTATTGTAGTGAGACCTGTCAACAATGACTTTCCATTTTTCAAAAGTGCAGTATATTCTTATTAATTGCAGTCACCATGGTGTGCAATAGATGTTTTGCACTTATTCCTTCTCTCTAAAGCTACAATTACGTTTTTTTTTTTGACAAATATATTCTAAAGCCCCCTCCCCCCCCCGGAAATAAAACAGTCTCTGGTAACCACCATTCTGCTCTCAAATTGCATCAACTCGTTTAGATTCCACATGACGAGTGAGATCATGAGGTGGTTGTCTTTCTGAGCCTGGCTCGTTTCAGTTAGCATAATGTCCTCTAGGTTCATTCATGTCGTTGCAAATTGACAGATTTTTGTAGTGCCACTTTTGTTCCTCCAGTGACAGACATTCAGGTCGATTGCATATCTTGACTGTTGTGAAAGTTCATGGTAATAATATGGAGGTGTGGCTGTCCCTTCATTGTGCTGATCATGTGTTTATATACACACGTGTGTGTCATCTAAGCAAAATGTATATAATATATAATATCTGATAGTGTGATTCCTGTGTTGTGTGATCGTTTCATTTTTAGTTATTTGAGAACTGTCCATTCTGTTTTTAAAAGAAATGTACTGATGGACATGCTCACCAACATTGTGGAGACATTCCTTTTTATTTTTGCAACACTTTGTATCTTTTGTCTTTTTAAATGGTAATTGATGTTGAGCATTTTCCATCTATCTGTTGTTCATGAGTGTCTTTTTTTGAGAAAATTTGCTTAGATCTTTGACTTATTAAAAATAACTTTTTTGTTGTGTAATTGGTTGACTTTCTTATATATTTTGAGTATTCTTTGTTTCATATATATTTTCCACATATTTTGTCCCACTCCTAAATTGTCTTATGATTTTTCATTGTATTTAGTGTGGCAGAGGCTTCATATTTTGAAGTTATCTCTTTTGTCTATTTTTTTGTTTTGTTTTCTAAGATTTTGGAGTTGAATTTAAAAAGTCATTGCAAAGTAAAATACCATGGGGCTTTCACCTGATGCTTTCTTGTAATAATTGCAGAGTTTCAGGTCTTACATTTAAGTCTCTAATTCATTTTCATTTGATTTTTATGTCTAATGTGAAGTAAGATTCCTGTTTTATTGTACTGAAAGTGATTGTTCAGTTTTTCTAACACTGTTTCTTTTTTTAGTTTATCCTTTCCTCATTGTGTATTCTTGCCACTTTTGTCTAAAGTCATTTAACTGTAAATACATGCTCTATTTCTGAGGTCCCTGTTTTCTCTATTTGCCTGTATGTCAGTTTTCATTCCAGTGTTATATTCATTTGGTTACTATAGATTTGTAGTATAATTACATTTCAGATAGTGCGATGCATCCAGCTTTCTTCTCTGTTTAACTGCTTTGGCTGTTTAGGCTTGTTTGTGGTGCTGTCTGAATTTTATAGTTTTCAAAGCTTTGCTAAGAATGCCTTTGTTTTGTTGTAGAATGACTTATGTTCCTCTGGGTGTATTTCCAGGAGAGGGATTGATGGATCGTATGGAAGGTCAGTTTTTAGTTCTTTCAGGAATCGCCACGTTGCTTTCCCTAGAGGATGAACTAGCTTGCACTCCCACCAGCAGCCTGGAAGTGTTCCTTTTCGTCTGACCCTTGCCAGCGTATGTTGTATTTTGGTTTATTTAACAATAGCCATCCTTACAGGCATCAGATGGTATCTAATTGTAGTGAGTTAGCACAAGGGAGCGATTGGCAGTTGCTGGGCACTGCTGCTAGGGGCAGAAGGGAAGGAAGAGGGTGGTGGTTATGTAACAACACAAGGGTACCTGGTCCTATACCAGGGGAATGAGGGCCAGTGAGAAGCCCAAGCTTCAGCTGCATGCAGTCTACTTATGTAGTTAATTCTCATTTATACCCCACATTTTTTTTTTTTTTTTTTGAGTTGGAGTCTCACTCTGTCGCCCAGACTGGAGTGCAGTGACCGCTCCCGGCCACCGCAGCCTCGACCTGCTGGGCTCCAGCGATCCTTCCGCCTCAGCCTTCCGAGTAGCCGGAATTACAGGCATGCACTACCACGCCTGGCTGATTTTTTTATTTATTGTAGAGATGAGGTCTCGCTGCCCAAGCGGGTCTCGAACCCACGGGCTCAGGCAATCCACTCACCTCAGCCTCCCAAAGGCACAGGATTACAGGCTGAGCCACCGTGCCCGGCTACCCCACATTTCTATAATAAAATTTAATCAAAAAAAGAATTCCCCCCCCAAAGATGTCTTTGTTTTAAAAGAAATTGCACTAAATTTGTAGATCTTCTTAGGTGGTATAGACATTTTAATAATATTAATTCTGCTAACTCATGAATTAAGGCCATCATTCCATTTGTATGCGTTTCATTTAATTCAGTTTTTTTTTTAGTTTTTAATGTAGAGATTTTTCACCTTTTTAATTAAATTTATTTATTCATATTATTTTAAAGCTTTTGTAGAGGGATTTTTAAAAATTTTCTTTTCACACAGTTTGTTGTCAGTATGTAGACATCCCAGTGGCTTTTGTGTGTTGGTTTTTGTGTTCTGCAAGCTTGCTAAACTTACTGATTCTAAAAGTTTTTTAAAGGAGTTTTTAGGGCTTTCTGTATACATTTATGTTGTCTTCGGGCAGGAACAATTCAACTTTATTTTTAAAATCTGTTTTCCTTTTTTTCTCTAATTTCTCTGTACTGTCCTCCACCGCAGGGACATACAATAGTATGCAGTAGTATACTGAATTCGAGTGATGAAAGGGGGCATCTTTGTGTTTTGCCAGCTCTTAGGAAAAGCTGCACATTTTTCTCGTTTAGTATGATGAGTTTAGTATGGTGTTCGCTGTGTATTTGTCATACGTGCCCTTTATTAAGTTGAGGTGCATTTGTTTTACACCTAATTTGTTAAGAGTTTTTAATACAAGGCATTCTTTAATTCTGTCAAATTCTTTTTTTGCATCTGTTTAAATGTTGCAGTTGGTTCTTTGGTCTGATATTCTAATCAGAATCATGCTAGTCACTGCAAAACTTTGGAAGGTTGTCATAGGAGATGCACATAGCAGTGTTGCTGATTTACAACAGGTCACTGCTACTGCACACACAGCAACTGTATACTAACAACTGCTGTAGTTTGAATATGTCTCCTAAAATTCATGTGTCGAAAGCATAATCCCCATTGCATCAGTGTTGGGAGTAAAGCCTAATTAGAGATGCTTCAGTCATGGAGAAAGTGCCCTCAGGAGGGGGAAAAAACCTGCGGTAAAAATGGATTAGGAGCGTCAGTTTATGCTTTTCACTCTTTTATCATGTGAGAACACAGAGTCCCCCTCTTGCCCTTTCCAGTTTAGCCAGGTGAGG